ATTCAGTCTTTTAAATCACGTTTAAAAACATATTTGTTTGATCTGGCATTTAAGGCGAATTAGGGTAATTTACATCTGGCTCTGTATTTAGATTATGTAATTATCTTATATTTTATATATTTGTAATTTATATTTTAGTGTGATTTTATTTGTACTGCGATTTTACTGGAAAGCACTTTGGTGTACTTTGGTCTTAAAAATGTGCTATATAAATAAATTTTGATTGATTGATTGATTGTGTTCAAATGTAAGGGGAAAAAAAAGATGTCTTCACGGCTGCAGCGGAAAAGCATTGGTGAGCTAACTTGGCAATGCGTGTGGGTCGTGTTGAAGAGTATAATGAATCGAAGGAAGATTTTGAGTCATATTTGGAGCGATTGGAGCAACGGATGCTGGCAAATGATGTTTCTGATGAGAAGAAACTGTGCATGTTTCTCTCTGTTATCGGAGCAGATACATTCAGGCTGCTAAAGAATCTTGTGTCTCCGAGGGTACCGAGTACTGTGGGATATGCAGTGCTGACTGAAGCGTTCAGTGCGCATTATAAACCAACTCCAGTGGTGATAGCTGAGCGTTTTCGTTTTCAGAAACCTAACCAGAAAGAAGCGGATTCAGTTTCTGACTACGTTGTAGCCCTGAGGCAGTTGTCAGTCACGTGTAATTTTGAACAATATTTGGATGAGGCCCTGAGAGATCGCTTTGTTAGTGAGCTGCGTTCTGATGCTGTGCAGCGCAAGCTACTATTGGAAATGAAGAGTGTGCTGGAAGCAGATGGTAAGGCCACATTGCCACTCAGTCTTTGATTGGCAAACTTCCTTATCATGTATCGCATATACCGCACACTCTGACGGGTCGTACACCAGCAGAGTTGTTCCTGAAATGTCGGGGTTATAGACTGTGTTGTTCCAGAGATACCACCAAGTCCACCTGGGATTTCAACATCACACCCCTTACCTGCTGAACCACCTAAACAGACAACTGATGAAAAAAATATATACATAGCGTAAAATCTAAGTTCTAAAACAAACTCCAGTCACATTCATTCGGGTAGATAGCAGCAGTCCTTTCACAGAAGGGGATGGAAAAATTAGATAGTGTGTGTATCTGGGGAGTGTATTGTATGTGTGTGTGTGTGTGTGTGTGTGTGTGTGTGTGTGTGTGTGTGTGTGTGTGTGTGTGGATAGGGGCAACACAGTCTGCTTGTTGATCTTAGAGTGTAGCTGTGTGAGTGGCTGTGTGGGTGGGGAGGGGGCACAGACCATTTATCAGTCTCACAGCTTGTGCAAAGAACCCTCCAGCATCCTGGTGGTTCTGCAACTGATGCTCCTGTACTTCTTGCCAGACGGCAGGAGTGAGAACAGGCCATGAGAGGGGTGGTTGGAGTCTCTGATGATGGAGATAGCTCTGCGTGTGCAGCGCTGGTTGTAGATCTCCTCCAGTGGTGAGAGAGGGGCACCAACAATCCTCCTGGAAGTCTTGACAATCCTATTAAGTTGATGCTTCTCGTAGGACTTGCAGCTGCCAAACCAAGCTGTAAAACTTTGTGTCAGGATGTTTTCAATGGTGCCCCTGTAGAAAGTTGTGAGATGAAGTGTGGAGAGTCCTGCTTTCCTGAGTCTCCTGAGGGAGACGCTTTTGTGCCTCTATCACCACTTACTGTGCGGTGAGCAGTTTGGAGCTATGATCTACCTGCTGCTTATCTTTAAGGATTTGACTGTAACATATAAAACACTTTACCTTTAAAGTATCTGATATACAATGGAAATGGAAGCAATCAGAGATTTAATGATGAAGACTGGGGGTCTGTAGTTCACGTTTTACAGTCCTGAATGACTCCTTGGACATTAATATAATTCACTGAAGCAGAGTTTACAATGCAATTTGCATTCAGCCTCCAGTGTTACTGTTTAATTTTTTTACAATGTCTTTCTCGTTTCGTTTGGCTCTCGGCGAAGGCGGTCGCACTTTTCTCCTCTCCTCCTTCCCCTTACCTTATCTTCCCTGCTTAGCCTCTTGTGTCCTTGTCTTGTCTTGTGTGTAGTTCACTTCCCTGGAACACTCTCTCACAGTCTGTGTCTAAAAACCTAAAAGAGA